GCCGCCCGGCGGGACCCGCGCCCCCCAGGGCCACGTACCTGCTCCCCTCCGTGGCTGCCATCACGGTGTCGGCAGAGCTGCTCAGAGCCGCCTGGGGGGGCAGGTTCTCAGGTCCGTGCTGCTGCCCGGCTTCGCTCTGGCCCCTGGGCCCCGAGGCCTGCGGCTGGGGGTCCTCCTCGCTGCCCCGGGGCCGTCCCAGCTCACAGCCCACACCTCTGTCCCGCAGGCACATCCCTGAGCTGCGCCACCCTGCAGTGGCTGCTCGCCGAGAACGCCGCCGTGGACGCCGTGCGGGCCCGAGCGCTGTCCTCCGTCGAGGGCGTGGCCCCGGACGGCACCGACGTCTGTCTCACTGTGCGCGAGGCAAGTGGGGGGCCGGCCTCTGCGGCAGCTGCTCTCCAAGCTGGGGGGGTGGTCTCCGAGCTGCTGTCATCGGCTCAGTGTCAGCCAGGCCTCCCGGAGGTCCCAGGGGCGGACCATGGCCGCCCAGCCCACGCCCCGTGTGCACACTGGAACCTGCTGTCGGGGGGCCTGGGTGTGCAGGGGGCTATGAGCAGTGTCCAGGCCAGCCACAGCCATCCCCTCGTGCCGCAGGGGGCAGGGGGGCCGCTTTGCCCTCGGTCGGTCGGGCAGCTGGTTCTCCAGGTGAGTGTCACCTGAGGGCGGAGAGACCCAGCCTGAGCACCCTCCGGCCCCAAGCCTCGCCCGGCCAGGGGCTGCGGATGGACTCGGGCCCTCCTGTGCCGCAGGTGGCGGTGCCTGACGTGTGCCCAGCAGGGTCCCTCCAGGCCGTGGAGATCCAGGTGCAGAGCTGCTCCCTGGCCAGCGTGTGCGGGGCCCACGGCGCCGTCCTCGGGAGGATGCAGGTGCGTCGCCCGCCCAGCCTGGGCCGCAGCGGGGGGCTGGGGGGCTCCCCTCGTCTCCGCCTCCGGGCGCCCGTGTGTGCGGGGGCCGGCGGGGTCCTCTGCTCGCCCTCCTCTGCTCGCCGCCCTCAAGGGCGCCCAGGACGCACTCGGCCAGCGGCGGACACGAGAGCTTCCTGCTGCTGCTCGCTGGCCGGGGTCTGCTGGAGGCTCCTGCGCTGGGCTCGCTGGGCTGGCTGGGCAGAGGCCGCCCCTGGGCTCGGACACCCTGGGCTCCAGCCCAGGACGGGGTGTCGGCTCATCGGAGCCTCCGGGTCTTTGCTGGGGGGCGGGGCGGGGGCCGGCCCCAGTGCCACGCGGAGCGGACACCTGCGTGTTCCGGAGGAAGTCTGTCAGTGGTGCCCTCAGCTGGGCACAGCCCGGCTCCTGTGCTCGGGGGCGGGCCGTGCCGCCACCAGCCCACTTGGGCGGTTTTCCGAGAGCGGGGTCCACACAAGGGCCTCACCAGGGACTCACCAGCACCTGCTCCCTGGGGTCCGAATGCACAGTCTGAGCTCTGACGAGGGACTGGGGGCTGCCCTGGATGTCAGCAGGCTGGTCACCTGCTGGTCACAAGCCCAGGCCAGCCACTCTGATGGCCACCTCACGTGCCTCTGTGACCCTTCTGTGACGCTTCTGCCCCCGACCTGCCGTGACCCCGGTGACCTCCTCGCTGCCATGACCAGCCGCCCCCGCCCCCCTGCACATGCCCAGGCTCAGGAGCTGGTCCCAACCTGCAGGCGGCAGGGTGGCCCCAGGGCAGCGGTGTGGGCCACCTTGAGCAGCACAGGGAGCTGCTCTGGGTTTCGGACTCTGCTGCTCTCTCTTGGGTCCGAGTCTCCTCAAGGCCCTGCCCTCTGCGCCGGTCTGGAGCCAGGACCCGACCCCCTGGGAGCTGGGGTGCGGGTGACTTCGTCTAGGAAGCTGTGCTGGAGCCGCACCACAGTGGCCGGCTGGGCGGGTGGGAAGCCGGCACGTGCCCTCAGTGTGGAGGGAGGAGGGGGGGAGGGAAGGGGCCGCCCAGCTGGAAGCTGGAGGACTGGGGCCTGGAGCCCCTGGTGCTGCCGGCCACCCCCAGCAACCTGCCCCTTGCCCCCAGAGGGTGGTGGAGGAGCAGGCCGCCCGGGGCTCCGGCCCGCCCGACCTCCGCATGCAGCACCTGCACCAGACCCAGGCCAGCCACGAGGTGAGGCCCCTGGGGTCCCGTCCCCAAACCCCCCACCAGCCCTGACAGTGGGGACCACCCCTGGCCAGGCTCCTGTGTTGCCCTCAGAACTTGGGGGAAGGGGGTTGTGCTGGGTCACTTCTGTCTGTGGCCCCCCACCTAGCTGCTGGCTGGGACCCTCCTGTCCCCTGGGAGGTGTGGGCTCCCTTTGCACGCTCTCTGTCCTGGGGGAACTGCAGGGCCAGGCAGGGGGGCCCGCCCTTCCCAGGCGCAGACGAGCCCGTGCTCCAGCCTCCCTGCCCTGTCCCGAGCGGGGTGGGTGTGGGACAGGCGCCCCCAGAGGGGCCTGGCGGGCATGGCGGGGCCTAGCGCTCGCCCCCACTGCCCCTGCAGGCGCTGCTGCGGGAGGTGCGGACGCTGCGGGACCAGCTCTGCGAGGAGGACGGGGCCGGCTCCCACGCCACCACAGAGAGGCTCCTGCAGGTGTACCGGCAGCTGCGCAGCCCGGGCCTCCTGCTGCTGTGACCGCCGCCACCAGGGGTGCCCGCCTCGTCCCGTCCCGGGTCCGGGCCTTGCCCCCGTCCTCCCCTCCTCCCACCGCGGCCCGCCGTCTCCACCCTCCTCCTGTTGCTGCTGGGCGGTGTCCCCAGAGCATGGGGGTTGGGTCAGCGACGTCCGCTCCACTCTCAAGCTCGGGACCGTGGGCTGGACCCCAGGGCAGGAGTCGCGTGGCTCCCCCGGGTGGCCCTTGGCAGCCAGGGAGAGACTGTCCGGGACTGGGACCCGGGGCAGGTGTGGGTCTGCCCGCCACCGTGACTGGAGGTGCCGCCTCCCCACAACCGCCTGCCACCCACGGGGGACGGCGTGGCCCTGCCCTGCACTGCTGCGATGCTGCCCGTGACTCCGCCCAAGGGCAGGGCGGGGGCTTCAGGTGGCCTGTGGCCGGGCCACCCCCACCCCCGCACCCAGCACTGCCCGGACCCCGGTGGGGGGCGGCGCTGGTGGTGTGAATTCCATGTTTGGGAAGGTGACACCTGGGTGTCCCCTGGTGCTATGTGCTGGGGGCTGTGAGGGCCCCACCACCACCTCAACTGACCTTTCTGTGAGCTGCCTCTGCCTCCTCTGGTCTTGTTTCCCGCCTCCCCCCACCCCCCGAGCGGTGGTTTGGACCCGGACTCCTGGGTGCCCTGTGTGTGCCCTGCACCAGGTGCGCCGTGTGCTGGGGGCTCTCCGAGGCCCTGGGGCGCAGCGCTCCCCGGGGAGGGAAGGGGAAGCTGGGTACACCTGCGACGGGGCAGGAAAGGTGGGATGTGACACGGAGGACAGCCAGGGCACAGGCCGCAGGGCGGTGGCCTCAGCGGTCCTGGCCAGGGTGTGGGAGCCGGGTGTCCACAGGTGCCAGGCGGCGCCTGGGGCGGCTCAGCCAGGGGAGGGGGCCGCGGGCTGGCTGCCCCTGCGACGTCCCCCACACGCAGCTCCAGCCCGCCTCAGCCACAGGCCGCCCTCTGCACCCAGTCCCAGCCTGCACGCCCCACGCGGGGTGCCGGGGCGGCCCCCACTCCCCATGCCCTGCGGGTCAGAGCCCAGGAATGTGGCGCTGGGATTCCCGCCTGCTGCGACCTGCCTCCCGGCCCTGACCCGCTTTCCCTCCCGGACGCCACCAGGGGGCAGCACAGGCCGCAGCTCAGCAGCCTCCTGGTCTCCTGGACAGCTGGGTCCCGAGTCTGCTGCCCCGGGTTAACCGGTGCTTTGGGCTCCTGGCCCCTGCCCGGCCCTCCTGTGTCCCTAGGGTGAGGGGGCCCGGCCGGGGGCTCCTTGGGGAGGGGCTGCAGGGAGCCTTAGGACAGACCTAGCGGGGCCTGCGCCCCCAGGTCCCGCCCCCTCCCCTCCCGCCGCCTGGCCCCGTGTATCGGATCTTCACTGGCACCCGCTTTGCGCCTGCTGCCCCTTCGGAGTGCTCCGCCCTCTCCTGGGGCCAGGCTGCTGGGACCCAGTGGAGGGGCTCCTGCCCCAAGGGAGGGCTGGGCTGGCGGGGGCGGGGCTTCCTCCGCAGGTGAGGCCTTCTGGCCCTCTGTGGCCTCCCTCCCTCCCCCTGGGCTCCGGCCCTTGGCTCCGGCCCTCTCCCAGCCCCCAGTGCCCTCGTCCTCACGGTCCTGACCAGTGCCAGGGGTACTTCTCACGTCTCAGAAGTCCCAGGCCACCCAGCCCATCGGGGGGGCAGTGGCCTGGGCGGAGGTTCTGGGCGCCGGGCGCTCTGGGCAGGCACATGGGTGAACCAGGACGTGGTCCCGTCAGCCACCCTGGCCTGGGGTGGCAGCCAGCGGCCGGGCGAGGCCCTCTGTGCGCAGCTGGGGTGGGCTCCGCCCGAGAGCCCCTCTCCTGGGGTGAGGGGGGACGGTCGGCGGCAGCAGGACAGCTGCCTGAGCTGAGAAGGGTCCTCTCCCCCGGCCCTCCATCCGCGGGTCGTGGGAACTGTGGGGGTGGTTCGTCCACCAAATGATTCCGGGGTTCCCTAAGATCCTGCCCCAGCGCTAGGAGCAGCGATGGAGACACACTGACCCCAAAGACCCTGCAGCTGCTCCGTCTTGCTGGGCCTCCTGGGGGGCGGGACAAGCGGAGGAGAGCTCCCCCACCCATTCCTGGGGTTGTGCAGGATTGCGGGGGCGCGACCCGCTGGGCCTTCCTCCTGGACAGGCTGCCACGCTGCATGTCCTGGGCATGAGAGTTGGCGAGGCGGAGTGCGAGCCCCAGGAGCCAGGGAGGGCCGCCGCGGGCGGGGACGCCCTTCCGGGGCTCGGTGCTGTGCCCAGGCGAGCCCCCCGCCCTGCAGTGCTGACACTCCGCGCCCGCCCAGAGCCGCCGCCGCCGCCGCCACCACGAGCCCGACAGCCACTGAGACAGACACGGTTTAATGGGCGACCAGGCTCGCGCGCTCAGTACTCCCAGAGCGCGACCCCGGCGGGCACGTCCGCGTCGGCGCGCAGCAGCCCCGAGGCGCCGCCGCGCAGGTACTTGCCGTTCCGGGCGCGGATGGCCAGGCGGCCGCGCTCGCGGAACTCGAAGAGGAAGTCCTCGGCGCGCTCGCCGTCGCTGCACACGCTGCCGTGGCTGCCGGTGTGCCAGAACCCGCAGCGCCCTGCGGAGCAGGCGGGAGTCGGCGGGGCGGCCTCCGGGCCGCGCGCAGCCCCGCCCGCGCGCGCGCCCCCCGGCCCCCCGCCCGCACCTCGGATCTGGTAGGCGCCGTCGCTGAAGCTCAGGTGGAAGACGTCGTACACCGAGCGGTTGGTGTCCAGCTGGTTGGAGCCGCGGCGGTGGCACACGAAGCCGTCCAGGCCGCGCAGCACCAGGATGGGCCGGTTGATGAGCTTGAGGATGAACTCCTCGTCCTCGCCTGCAGGGGGAGCCATCCCTGTCCGAGCCGGTCAGGCGGGGCGCGGCGGGGGGCCCCCCAAAGGCTCCAGGGCCCAGGTCTGCCATCGCCAGCGACCTCGCAAGCGGCCTGCCGCACCCCAGCCTGGGCGCCCCGAGGGTGTCGTGGGGAGGAGGGTGCTCTGGGGCCTAACTAACTGCTCGGCTGCCGTCCGCAGCCACGCTCTGGACCAGCCAGTGCCCGGGGCAGCAGCCAGTGCCCGGGAGGGGGCGGGGCTGCTCTGGGCGGGCCGTCACGGGGTCTCTGGGCGGGCGGGGAGCGCTCACCCACGAAGTCGCTGATGGCCGCCAGCTGCCCGTTCTTCTTCATGCACACGTAGCGCCCGTTACTGGCCTTGAGGGCCACCCGCCGGCCTCGCCACTCCATCTCGAACATGGTGCTGGCCGAGCTGAGGGGGCGGGGCGAGGTCCCTTCAGAGCAGCAGCAGGTGGGGGCTCAGGGCCCGGCCTTCCCACACCCCTGCGTGCGACACTGCCCCCTGGGGGCGGGGCAGGCACTTGCTTCCCAGCGGTAGGCACGCCAGGAGCTCTCCCCACCCGGTGGGCACGCTCCCCAGAGGGGCTGCTGCGACAGATCTCCGCGGGGAGGGGGGTGGGGACGGCCCACTCACACTTGGGTGGCCGTGGCCTGGATGCCCCCGTGGGTCACCAGGGCCCAGTAGCCCCCGGTGCAGGAGTAGAAGGTGCACTTCTTCGTCTCCCGGTCGATCTGCATCAGGAAAGTCTCGTGGTCCAGCTCCTCGTCTTGGTTGGCGGAGACGTTGACCCCTGGAGGGAGGAGAAGGGAAGCCCCTCACGCCTCTCCCTGGGCGGCTGGGGAGCAGGCGGGTGGGGGGGCAACTCTTGGGGCGACCCCGAAGCCAGAGGGGCTCGTCTAGCACCTGAGAGGGTTCAGGAGGCGCTCCTCAGGGGGTCTGGGCGCTCCGCCCCCAGGGCAGCGGGGCCACACACCACACCCCCAACTCCGACCTCGGCCGGGCGCCGGCAAATCCCCGGCCCGATAATCAGCTGGTAATCCGCCAGCTCCCGCTGAGGCCCAGCTGCGGCCCAGCACCCACACTCACACTGGTCTCTATTTATATCTCGGCCCTCGGGTGCCGCAGGAAGGCAGGGGCCCCTGTCCTTCCTGGGGCCGTAGCCCAGGACACAGCCAGGGCCTGGGGTCCACTCTTGGGTACTGGGCAGGGGCTGGTCCCTTGTCACTGCCCCAGGGTCCCACTCGTGTCTGGGGTCTCCCTGGTGTCCTAGGGGAGGCCAGGGCTACTGAGGCCGTGCCTGGGGTCTTGGGCCAGGGACAGAGGAGTGTCCCCACTCAGATGGGGGACAGCGGGCAGGCTCTGGGGTCTGCCTGATATCTTCTCATGAACGAAGTTCCTGTTTCCTCAGCAACTGGCTAGTCTGAGGGGTGCGGCAGGTCACAGAGGCCCCCCCTCAGACCCCGGCACGTCCAGCTGGGGGCCTGAGGGTCAAGGCCGGGTCTTGTCCCACCCTGCCCACTGGCAGGCTGGCCGAGCACGAGGCCGGGCTGGGCCCCCCTTCCTCCCCCCACAGCCCCCAGGCTGGGCCTCCCCTCCCATTCGGGCCACTGCCCGGAGGCGAAGGCGGCCAGGCCCGCGTCCTCACGTCCATCCCCACCTCCCACCCGGCAGCACAGGAAACAGCCCTCCCCTCCGGGCACTGATGGTCCGCGGGGGCGGTGACAACAACTGGCATGTCCGGTACCCGAGACCGCTCGGGGCCCGGGCTGGGCCGGCCTCCTGGGGAAGGGGACTCGGAAGCAGACCCCGGGGGCCGGGGACAGTCCCACAGGCGCTAACAGGGTGAGGGTGGGCCACACGCCCCACACGGCCCTGCAGACGGGATGCGGTGGAGTGGGGGCTCCCTGTCACACAGCCCTGTGGGCGCCCCGACCTCGAGGTGGGAGACCTCACACAGAGCCCAGCGCCCGGAGGAGCTGGCTGGGCAGCGGCGGGCGAGCACCCGCGGGCTCTGCAGGGTCAAGAAGAGTTCTCCCCACCCCTTCGAAGATGAGAGAAGGAGCAGCTCAGGCCCCTCTCCTCCTCCTCCGGCTGCGTCCTGTCCGGACACGAGGCCCAGACCACGGGGACGCCAGCCAGCAGTCAGAGCCGCCCCTGGGGGGCGGGCACTTGGAGGGGAACGAGCGGGGGGGCTTTGGCGCTGCCCCCGAGCCGGCAAGGGGTCCTGCCTGGGACCGCCCTCCCCCGGGGCCTCCAGAAACCCCTGCCCAGGACACACTCCATGTCCCTGTGGGTCCGCCGGTTTGCGGCCGGCTTTCTGGTGCTCTCGGCAAGACGCGGACCACCGTTCACCGTGCCGGGGCGTCAGTGAGGGGCGGGGCAGCCAGGCGCTGTCCCGGGGAGGAGAAAGCAGGCGCCTGTGGGAGCGGACAGGTTTGGGGGCCGCCTGGCGTGGAAGAGGCCCGGGCCCAGGCGCTGCCGCTCTGCAGAACCCGCCGCCCCAGCTGCCTCAGGTCCAGGGGTGGGCCCCCCGGACGGAGACGCCACATCCTCTTCCCGACACTGTGGGCGCCCACCCAGTCAGCCCCGAACCTCGGGGGGCCGTCAGGCTCACTGCCAGGGAGGTGGGGCAGCAAGAGTGGGCCCCGCAGTGGCAGAGGCAGGTGGTGGGTCTGGTTGCCGGCCACCATCCCAGGGTGGTCCCTACGGCGCTGTCCCTCACCACCACCGACACCAACCCCATCGACACTGCCACCGCCACCACACTGCCAGAATCGCCGGGAGAGCCTGCAGCGCCATCCCGGTCCCCACAGCCACCCTCGCCTCCAGCAGCAGCACGAGTCTGGCTCGAGAGCTGAGCTCCGACTGACCCGGAAGGGGTCTTCCCCGTGTCACTGACACACCAGGCACGTGGGCCTGAAGCTGGACTGGGGGGGCCCATGGTGGGTGGGGGCAGGGCCATCACCTGCAGTCAGAGCCCAGGGCCGGGCCACATGCCTGGACGTGGGCTCGGGAGGCTGTGGGGCACCCGCACCTGTGCTGGCCTGGCCTAGAGGCCACTGTTCCCAGGCGCTCACGTCGGGGCCTCTGCCCTCTGGAGGGAGGGGCTCTGTGCCAGGTCAGGGCCACTCCTGGGCACTCAGAACCAGGAGCCCAAGCGGGAGGCAGCTGAGGCTGCTGGCCCAGGCCTGGGGTGGCCCCTGGCCGTGCGGGGCCACTTTGGGACCTCGGCTTCCTCGGCGGGAAGTAGGAGCTGCCCACAGGTGTTTGACTGGGTGTGGAAGGGCCCACTGGTCACATGGGGCAGGCGACCGATGACCCGGGAGGCAGGGGGACCAGGCTGGACCCCAGAGGCAGACAGAGCCTTCCCGCCAAGAAGCACAGACCCCGGGGTCGTCGGTGCCCTGCGTCCCCCGGGCCCCGTACTGGAGGGACCCCAAGGTCCCGCCCCACTCCACCCCTGGGTCAGCCCCGTAAAGGTGTGGGAGCATGGCTCTGCCCACCCCCGGCTCCGCTGGCTCCTCCCCAGTTCCCTTCGAGTCCAGAAAGTGCAGTGGTGGGGTGGGGCAAGGGGCGGGAGCCGGGACGGTCCCCGGCGGGCAGGGCACCGCCCAGGCAGCCTGAGGGGGAGCCCCTCCCTCCTGCCCCAAAGCCAGCAGCCCTCCCCGAGGAACCCCCGGGGCCCGCGCCCGGCCCCACCAAGCACACATCCGCACCGCCTGGATGGGCCGCCCCGAGCCGCCTCACCTTGCCGCACGGACAGGTAGCGGTGGTTGGCGGCCACCAGCACGACCTGCGGGTGGCTCTCCTCCAGGTCGAACAGCTCGTCCTTGCCGGGCCGCGTGTTGCGGCCGGCGCGGAGCGTGCCGGCGGGCCCCACGGGCGCCAGGTAGCGGCCGTCGCAGTCCTTGAAGGCCAGCTTGCCGGCCTTGAACTCCAGGGTGTAGCGGGCGCGGGCCTCGGGCTCCCAGACCAGCCGGCCGTCGCTGCGCAGGTAGCGGCTGTCGCAGGCGCGCAGGCAGTACTGGCGGCCGCGGAAGATGAGCGTGACCAGCGCGTCCACGCCCCACGGCGCGTTGCTGTCGGCCGCGATCTCGTCCTCCTGCGGGCACAGGTGGGCGTAGCGCCGCCGGCTCACGCTCAGCAGGTGGGCCTGCGGGTGGATGGCCAGGTGCACCGTCCACAGCTCGGCCGGGGACACGGCGGTGGCGAAGCAGGACAGCCGGTCCTCCGTGCCGCCGAAGAAGCGGCCGTGGGGCTCCGACCGCAGCGCCCAGCGCCCGTCCGGCTGCGGCAGCACCAGGAAGCGGCAGTCGCGGCCCGGCCGCTCCGCCTCGCAGGCCACGCGCCCGTCCTCCTCGGCCGACAGGTAGCGGCCCAGGTGGCTGCTGCGGAACAGCACGGCGGCGCCCTGGCCCGGGACGGGCTCCAGCACCCACGTCTGCTTCCTCTTGAGGCTGGGCGCCGAGGCGTTGACCTTGAAGCCGAAGCTCTCGGCCGTCAGGTAGCGGTCGGCATCGTTGACCAGGCCGAACTGGATCTTCAGCACCTGGTGCAGCCCATTGGTGGGCATCACGGCGGTGGCGGCCCGGCGGGGGGCCTGGACGGCTCTGTCTGCGCGCTCACGGCCCCCGGCGGCCCCCAGAGGCCCGGCTCCGCTGGGCTGGCCCGTGGCCCCCGGGCCCCGCCGGCGTCATGGACCCGCTGCCCGCCCGCCCGCTCGGACGCTGCCCTGGCTGGTGGCTGCGGGCCCAGGCAGCTCTTACATGACTGGCGGGCAGAGGAGGGCGGGTGGGGGGCGGATCAGACCTGGGCCGGCTTAGGGGCAGCGGCCGCCTGTCTTCGCCCCAGCTTGGATTTCAGCTGCTCCCGGACGGTGGAGGGGCCGCAGCCGGGTCCGTGGGGCTGGACGGCGCCCCCGCGGAGGGCCTGACCCACCCCGTGGGGTCCCCGGCGGCAGCTGCGGCCCGGGCCCCGGCCCTGTTCCCACCTCGTGGCCCTGGCACCTCTTGGCCCTCTCCCCCTCACCGCCAGCCCCAGGGCCCCCAGACCCAGCGCACGGACCCGCCAGCCCTGCCCAGCGCCTTCCTGGCCCAGTGAGAGCCGCCTGGTGGAAAACACGGCGCGGCCGCAACCCGATCACAGCCCTCCACCCTCAGCGGCCGCCAGGGCCCGGCCAGATCCAGTTACCGCCTCTCTGGCTCCTGCCGCCAGGGGCGCCGCGAGGCCCCCCACCTGGCGGCCGCAGCCCTCGTGTCCTGCGGCCCCCCAAGGCTGCCCCGGGGCCCCAGGCCTGATGCCCCCACCCCCCGAGTGTGGCTGGGGCTGGGCGGGTGGCAGGCAGGGGTGTCTGGGCCAGGGAGTGGGCTGGGCGCCTGTGGCATCAGACCTGAGCCCGGGCAGGCAGTGCAGAGGGAGCCAGCGCCCTGGCCCCACTGGGCTGGGCGGCCTGGCTGTGCCGGCCCCGGGGGAGGGCCCCTGCTTGCAGCCGAGGTGGCAGCCCTGTGACAGGGACAGTGACACCTGCCACGGGCCGCGCGGGCGGGTGGAAGGGGACGCGGGGGAGTGAGTGCAGAGGCAGTAGGCCCCGTGCCCCGGTCCACACGGACCTCTCACCCGCCCTTCTCTGTGGGGGACCCCTGGACAAGCTGGCCATGGTCGATGGCCCTGGGACCCCTGAATGGCCGTCCACACCGCCAGAGACACTGGCCTGTCCAGGGGGCTGTGTAGCGCTGAGGCCAGCTAGAAGAGGCCGGACGCTGGCCGCCCCCGAACCCGGCACCTCCCAGCCCCAGCGGCCGGGTCCCCCCTGCACCCCAGCCTGCCGAGCCCCGGGGGCCGTCTCTGGGGACCTGCAGCTGCCTGGCCGGGCCTGGCTCCTGCACCTGCCTGTGGGGCTGGGCGCCAGGTAGTGAAACCAGAGCTGCCCAGCGTGGGCCTGGGCCAGCGCAGTGTCCTCTTCCTCGTCATGGCGTGTGACCCTCGGGGCTCCCCGGGGGCTGGGACCTGGGACCAAGGGGCACTCCAGACACCGGGCCCAGAGGCCTGCTCCACCCCCAGGGGCCCTGCAGAGCCCAGGAGCAGCCCTGCAGCCGCCTGGAGGCCGGGACGGGCCCCGGGCTGTGGGGCTGCAGCAGACGGAAATGGGCTTGGGCAGAGCAGGCCTCTGGGCCCCAGGTGGCACAGCAGCAGGCAGCACGAGGGTCCGTGGTTGGGGCTGGACGCAGGCTCAGGAGCCCTTCCTCCCTCCCCTCAGGGCCGCCTCCCCCTGCAGCCGCCTGGCCCGGGCAGACGTGGAGAGGACCGGGACCCAGCCAGGATGCAGAGAGACACCCCCAGGCCGGGAGGACGGGGCGCAGGTCCTCGCTCAGGCACTCGGTGGGGGAGGCGGCCCCCGCTCCCGGGCCGCACGGTTCGGTCTCTGCCTGCACCTCCAGCCCCGGCCCTGGACGGCCGCCGCAGGGCCCGGGGCGGGGGGGGGGGTGCAGCTGGCCGCCCCTCCGTCCTCCACTTGTCCGTGCGTGAGGGAGGGCAGCGCACCCACGGGCCCCCTCACTGGTGGCCCGGGCTCAGGACTGGGATGGGCGGGAGGGCGCGTCGGCACCACGTGCCCGGCGGGGAAGCCCGGCCGCCAGGCGCTAAGCGGGCCTGGCTCCAGGCAGCCTCTTGGCGTCAGAGCCAGCGTGGCTGCGGCCTCTCAGTCTGGGGCCCCCCCGAGTCCCGGGTGGGGGCAGGGCGCCTGCCTGGGGTGGCCGTCGGGCCCTGGGGGGGCGACTCTGAGAGACGGGCCCCCCAGGTCATCCCCTTGGAGGAAGGCGATGTGCAGAGCACCCCCCACCCTGCCTCTCCCTCGGGACCCTGGGCCCTCGCCTTTCCAGAACCCCCCCACGGCTCTGGCACATAGTAGGTACTTCATAAGTCCTGTGAACGTCCCGTGTGGGGGTTCTTGTGTGCCGGGCTGAGCTCTGCTCTGTGTGTGTGTGTGTGTGTGTGTGTGTGTGTGTGAGACAGAGACAGAGACAGAGACAGAGAGAGAGAGAGAGAGAGAGAGACCACACACAGACGGGGATGGGCAGGGCCGGGCACGGCCTGGAAGGCACAGCTGCCGCTGGCCCACCCCCGGCTGCCCAGCAGGGCGAGGAGGGGGCTCGCACAGACGCGCCCACCACCATGTCCTGCCCCCCAGACCAGCAGGCAGGCCGCTCGAAGCTCCAACTGAAACAGGTTTTGTGCTGGGGGTGCCTTGTCCTGGGGGCCACCGAGAGGCCACGGGGATGAGCCGCACCGGGCCCCTTCCTCAGGGGGGGACCATCTGTGGTTGCACACAGCCAAAGGGATGCTCGTGGCCACGGTGGGCCTGGGAGGCAGGGGACCCCTCAGCTGTGGGGAGCCCCCAGCAGACGAGGCAGGGCTGGTCCCCTTCGGGGTGTCCGGCAGGGCCAGGGGCAGGGAGGGCTGATCCAAGGGTCCCCGGCCTCTGGTGTCCAGCCTGGAGCTCTCAGGGCAGGACTCCTTTCCCGGGGTGCTGGGGGCTGGGCGGACCAGGCCTCTCAGAGGGTCCCCTCCCCCTACCTCCAGCCAAGGCCCCCCAGGGCTGCAGGGAAAGGACCCCCCTGGCCCATCTAGACCATTGGCCCTGGATGCCAGCGCCAGCCTGGGCTCCCGCCAGCACGCGGCCTGCTGCCATGGCGACCAGCACGCGAGCCAGGCCGGGTGCTGGGCGACGCTGCTGCTGGTGGCGTGAGCTGGCACGGGCCCGGTGTGTGTGCTGGCTGGGGGTGGGGCGGCCCCCGCCTTGGCTGGCCCGGAGCCCTGGAAACTGGGAAGTGGCCCAGGACGGAGGCTGGGCAGCCCCACTGCTGAGGGACCTCCACGAGCCCCACCTTCCCAGACCCACCCCAGGCACCGGCCCCTGCTCTGGGCATCACTGGCCGCACCTGCCCTCGGGCCGCGAGGCTGCAGAGTTGCTGCCCATGGAGGAAATCCCAGTGCCCACCCTGGTGTCCAGAGCCCCTCGGCCCCGGCCCGGCCCCCTGCTACTCTTCCAGCATTGCGCTCCGCCCCGCCCTGGCCCTCTGCCCCTCCACCAGCAGGCCACGCCGGCCCAGCCCCGGCTGGGCCCCTGCTCCGGGAGACCAGACCACCCTGCCAGCCCGGGTGCAGGCGGGCCCAGCCCAGGCCCGGATCTCCTGGGTGCCCGGCCCAGCGCCGGCCCCGGGGTCTCACGTGGCCGGGCCCAGGGCCCAGCCTCGCACGTCACTCACTCCCGCACACGGGCCCGGCTCGGCCACCTCATGACTTTTTCATGGCCGAGCTCTCTGTGGCCCGAGGCTCCCCTTACACGGTGGGCGGGGCCCGGCAGGGTTGGTTTACTGCGGCCCACGGGCGGTTTAGGGTGACAGCTCCCCTCAGCGGGACGGGGGGCAGTGTTGGAGCGAGCACGGGGTGGGGGGGCCCGGTGCCCACACTGTGCCGTGCACACGGACGCCGGGGTGCCCAGCCCGCACGTTCTGCCTGCTCCGTATGAACCCACCCCCACCCCCACCCCCAGGGCCCCTCTACCGCCCCTTCCCGGTGCTGGGCAGGGTGGGCCCTCAAAATTCATGGACCCTCTCCTGCCTGCCCCACCCGCCAGGCACAGAGCCGCTGGCTGGACTGGGGGAGCCCGCGTGGGGCTGTCAGGACCCCAACCTGGGGTGTCTCCTGTCTTTGTCTCTTATAACATCATAGCCGGGGGAGTCTGGCAGGGGAGGGAGAGACTGGGGGCGTGAGGGACACAGTGAGGCCGAAACGCCCCAAAGGACCTTGGGGACAGAACCGAGGGCATCCGAGCCCCCCGAGGTGCCCCGTGGACTTGGGTGATCATTCCACACCCAAACCCCAGGACCTTGGCACGACCCTAGGACGAGAGAGGAGCACCCCAAGACTGTCTCGGAGTGGGCCCCTGGCTGCATGCGGCTCAGCCTGAGGACCAGACCCGCTTCAGGAAGACAGCCAGCCGCTCCCTGCCCACCTGGGTCTCCAGGTGCGCAGGGTGGGCGCCCAGGTGGGTCAACACCTGTCAGGAACTCGGGTGCCCCAAGAACCAGATGGCAAGTGCAGCAAGTGGTATCGGTCAGTGAGGGAAATGGTCTCAAAACAGAAGGTTAAATGCTGGAGCGGAAGAAGAGATTCCACCGCAGGGTCAAAGGAAGTAAAAAAACCCAGAAAATTATTAAAAGAGCAAAACAAAGAAGAAAAAAATAAAAACATTCATGGGTGCATCTAGTAGCTGTGACAATTAATAAAGCTTACCCCCCAAAAGAACAGAGAAAATGAAGCAGGAAAGAAATTGTGAAAGAAATCACACAAGAAAACTCGCGAGAACGGAAGGATCTGCGCAGCAGGCGCCTCCAGGGGGCCCAGACGGGAGCGAGGGGCCTCAGGGTGGGGAAGTCCCCCACCCCCGCCCCCAGAGGTCGGACGGACGGGGCCAGAGCGGCCCCGGACGCCGGGAGAGCAGCGCCTGCCATCAGAGACACCGCGAGGCGGGCGCCCGTCACCCAGGGGAGTGGGAGTGCCGCCTGGCCGCCTGCCCGCAGGCGTCTTCTGTCTACCGCCCCACGGCCCCGCAGGGACCTGACCCCACCCGGCTCTCTCCACCCCCCAGAGCTCCGCCTTCAGGGCCACGGCCCTCTCCTCCTCCCCCCACTCCCCCCAGGGCTCCCCACTACCCGGGTGCAGTCCTGCGGGACCCCTGAGGCTGCCCCCCTGCCAGCACCCACCCCCTTGTGGTCCCGCGGCCTCCCACAGACCGCAGGGTGCGCGCACGGGGTGGGCGGGGTGTCTCAGAGGCCCGCCCCTTTGGTTCTGGCTCCGCCCTTCCTGCTGTAAGACCCGGAGCCGGCGCCAACCTCTCTGAGCCTCCCGTCCCTGCTCCCCAAACTGAGTATCTGCTGGGCGCTGCTGTGTACTCAGCAGACACACGGGCCAGGTCCCCGCGTGGCCCTAGCTTTGGGGTCCCTGTGTGGGTGCCGTGCGTGCATCGGGTGAGCTGGCCCTGCCCTGTCCCGTTGCCCTGTGTGCGGGCTGACCCGTATACCACCTTCTCTCCCTGCGTCAGCA